TTGACTTGAGCGTTTGTGTTAAGAAGTCTACTGTGATTCTAATGGATTTTCCTTTACAGGAGATTTGTTTCTTTTCTCCAATAGCTTTTAATATTCTTTTCTTGTGCTGAATTTCTAGAATCCTGACTATTACATGCCTTTGGTGTTAGTTTTTTTGATCATGGTTAATTGGAGTTCTAGATCTCTCACTTAGCTGTACATCACAATTTTTTTCCATGCTCCGTCATTACTTCCATGATCAGGGTTTTTATGTATTTTGTCTTTTTCTTTGACTCCAGTCAATCTTATGTTATTCTTCTTTCCATTATCTCCAGATGTTGGGTTGAATTTTTGAAGTCCCTTGCTATGTTTAAGAAATCTCTTTTTCCTGATTGCTAACCACAATCCTGTCTTCTAGGTTTGATATTATGTCCTCACATTGCCTCATTCTACTGCATATACTTCCAATGGAATTTTTAATTTCCTGGATATCTGATTAAATCCATTTCATGGATTTCATTTCTTGCCAATGTTCCCCCTCATAGGGTGCATCATTTTCCTAAGATGCTCTATTTTTTTTATCTGTATGTTGTCTAGAATCACTAACCATGACTTTCAATATGGTCACCATCTCTAGTTATCTGAGAGATTATTTCTGATTTGATTTTTTTCTGAGCCTCATTCATCTGCTTTGTTATGTTGCTGCTACCACTTCAGAGAATCCAGGTGGGTTTCACCTCATTGTCCCATGGGTTTGCCTTTGGTGAGCTGAAGCCTAGAGTTCCATCTTGCTTAACTGCCTTTTCACTTTCTATTATTTAAGCTTAATTCTTGTGTTTATGCTTTTAAATTGTTTAAGGAAGCCAGCTTTATTGCTAGTATGTAAAATCCTTAGGAAATTACCCCTTCTCAAAGATGTCTTCCAGGTGTAGCTGACTTGGGTTTTGAGTCTGTTGCAAGCTCTTCCCTCTTTAATTTATTAAGGGATGAAAAGTAGATGCATATTTGCCCTAGCCCCTATTTCTTTGAAACTGGCCTATAATATTATTTCTGATCCTTTGGCAATCTATGTATTGGTATACCGGAAAGAACAGCTGATTAGGGCAATTTTGTCACCTTGGCTAAAGTAATACACTCAGCAATAACAATAACATCAGATGCAACCTAGAAAATGGCAAACTATGGTAACTATTAATTTGCCACCTTTAGCCATAAGAACTATATGAACTAAAACAAACCAGAAAATTGTATACAGTAAATATGTCTTTCAATATGGTAATTTTATCCTCAGGGGAGAAAATTTAAAATGATTTAGGAAGAAAAAAATAGGACAAAGGAAGACTAGGCAAACTTTGGGAAACTGGTGAAGAAGACAGGAAGGAAAGAGAAGGAAGCAATCAAAAGAAAAAACAGAACAACAAAAACAGGAAAACTAGAAACAATGGAATGTAAGCTTAAATAATAGAAAATGAATCAATCAAGAAAAATAAAACAAAACAAGAGAACAAGAAAAGCAAAAAAATGAAGAGAAGAGAAAAATGTCCACTTGAGAGCATGTCTCTGCTGTCACTGTTAGAGTAGGCAGACAGAGCCAAGGTCCATATTGATTAATCCCAATAAACCAACCATAGATTTACAGTGGGGTAGTGGATAATCCCAGCAAACCTGCATGTTCAGTTCCATTGACATTCAGGCTGGTTGCTGGCTGTGCACCTGGAACCCAATTTGTCCCACCTGCAACTCTCTACTTGTCTCTTTCCAGCTTAAACTCAGCTCCCTGCTGCCTTGAACTTAGCTCTTTGACCTTCTGCTAATCTGAACTGTTTCTGCCTCACCCTCACACTGGAGGTACCAGATGGAGCCAACCTGCAGCTGCTTTGAGTTCTGAGATCAGCTGGCCCCTCTCCAAGATAGCTGCCAGCTAATCATCCTCTTCTGGGTGTCATCTGAATGTGGATAACTCACCACCCACTGCAGTCCACGACATCTAATGTTCCCTTCTACTGGTGCATTTCTCCATGGAGGCCTCTGGGGTCACCAGTAGTTTCCATGCTTCTGTATTTCCAAGCTATCCCTCACACACAGTGAAGTAGGTTTCAGGAATAAAGTGTTCCTTGCCACCTCCTTCTTCTGGATTGAGGTCTCTCTCTTTGCTCTCCCTATGAGCTTCAATTCTTACTTTAGATCCTTGTTGGAACCCAGGGATCCACTTTCCTCCTTCTCTTACCTATGTTACTACATTCCAACATCTGGACACCAAACCCCAGAGAGACTGTTTTTCCACTGTTCACCACTCTGCCATCTTCCTGGATGTGTCTGCCTTTTTCTTATGAGTTCACTTAGTCACATTTTATTCTGTTACTTTTGTAGAACTTCCAGAAGTCCTTAAACCACATGAATAATAGCATTACATCATTTGTATGAAGTGATTGCCTCTTCTGGTGTTGCTATGGTTAACCTTGAAACTCTTGATATTTCAGAACTTCTATTTCATTCTTAGTAAGACTACAGAGTGGGACATGAAGATTTTTCAATGTACTACCAGCTTTAACATGCTGTCACTTAATTCCCCACAGGGGTGGAGTATGGGCCTATGGTCTACCTCAGAATACAGATGTTGTGATGGTTAATTTTATGTGTCAACTTGACTAGGCCAAGTAATACACAAATACATGGTAATTATTTTTAAAATTGTGCCTATGAGAGTATTCCTAGAAAGTATGAGCATTTAGATTGATAGACTGAGTAAAGGTCATCCTCAGCAGTGAAGATAGCATCATTCAATCTGTTGAGGGGCTTAGCTTTCCCTTTGCTTGAGCTGGAACTAATGCATTCATGGTTATCAGGCCTTTAGACATAGATGGGCAGTTACATCATCAGTTTCTCAGGTTTTCAGGTCTTTGGACACAGATTGAACTATACCATTCTACCAGCACTTTTGGTTCTCCAGCTTGAAGATGCTAGATCATGGAACTTCTCAGCCTCCATAATCAGGTAAGCCACTCTCATAATAAATTTCATATGAATGTGCATATGTGTGTGTATTTGTCTTATTTGTAGTTCAGTGTCTCTAAAAAACCTGATATAGATATTTAGGTAAATAAGGATAGAATCTATCAGCTCCTTTTCCTTTACCCACCTACAATAAAAGCTAAATCCAAGGGAGGCAAACATAAAAACCTTTTATTGCAATGCTTTTCTCCTCAATACCTGGCAAACAAAATTCAGCAGTATATTAAAAGTTTTGTGTACAATGACCAAGTGGGATTTGCTCCTGGAGTGCAAGGATGGCTAGTTAAACATATGAGAATTGTAATATGATGTCAAACTCTTTTTGGAAGATATCTAGAAGGGGAATAGCTGGGTCAAATGGAAATTCTAGTTTTAGTTTGTTTTTGGAGTTAGGGCAATCCCCATGCTGATCTCCATGGTAGTTATACCAGTTTATATCTCTACCACCAATGTAAAAGGATTTCTTTTTCCCCATAGTCTTGTCAGCATTTGGTATTGATTTCTTGATGATACCCATTCTTTCTGGAGTATGATGAAATCTCACTGTTGTTTCAATTTGCATTTCCCTAATGGAGTGTTGTTGCACATTTTTTCATGTATTCAGTGGCCATTTTTACTTCTTTTTCTGAAAAATGTCTATTAATTTCCATTGCCCATCTTTTGATTGATTTTTTTATGGGGGGCTGTTGGTTTTTGTTTTTTAGTTTTCTGTATATCCTAAATATTAATCATCTGTCCAAGGAATACCTGGTAAAATTTTTTCCCATGTTGTTGGTTGTCTTTTACTCTGTTGTTTACTTTGTTGAAGGTTTTTAATTTGACATGATCTCATTTGTTGATTCTTGGTATTATTTCTTGTGTCATTGAAGTTTTGTTCAGAAAGTCCTTGCCTATGGCTATGTCTTCAAGACCGTTATCTATGTTATCTTTCAGTAGATTAAGTGTTTCTATTTTAACATTTAGATGTTTGATACATTTTGATTTTTGTTTATTTTAGACATCATATTACAATGATACATGCATACCCAAGTTTTAGAGCATAATTCACAGTAACTAAACCATGGAAACAGCCTATATGTCCATCAACAGATGAATGGATAAAAAAGTGTGCCATTTATATACAATGGAAAACTGCTGTACCATAAAAAAATAATAAATTTGAGATATTTGTAGAAAAATAAATACATTTTTGAGACCATAATTTTAAGTGAAATAATTAAGACACAGAAGCTTAAACAGCACATGACTTCTCTTATATGAGAAACATAAAATATAAATAAAGAGAGAAAGAAAATATAGATAACAGGAAGTAGGAAGATAGATCTTTCTCAGATGGGAAGGAGATCAAGACCTGGAGATAAGGAGGATGGAATGAAGAAAAAGGAGATAGCAAAAAAACTAGACATGTTATGTACATGTACAAAGTCCCCACAAGAAATGTAGTTGTTATGTACCATAAACATGTTCTAATAAAAAATAAGAACTGAAACAAAGAAAATTTTAAACTTCATAAAAATTGATCTAATATTGACAAAATAAAGGAAAAATAATATTGTCTCTCAATTGATTTAGAAAAACAATTAACAAAATTCAACATATTTTCATAATTTAAAACTCAACATATTGTGAGTGGAAAGAAGCAGCCTCAACATATTAGAAGTCTACATGAAAAATTATAGCAAAAATTATACTATAGTGTGGTACTGTCATAAAGGCAGATATAAACATCAGTGGAGTAGATTGGAGAACTTAGAAGCAAACTTGCACATATGATTGTTTTGGAAAAGGTATCCTTTTCCCTTTCTCCTTTTCTCTTTTCTCAATTTTTTCTATTTTTTTTCTTATTCTAATTCCATCCCTCAAACCCACAGACTGAGTTCAGATAATCCCTTGAGCATTTCTTCATGCTTTCTCTACTACTCACTTCTCTAGTTAGCCAAGCCCTATATGACCATCCTTTGTCCTCCAGTCTCCTTCTACTTCCTTTCCAGTTATCTTTATCTTACACACCATCCTCCTTAAATTTCCACACTACAGGGTAAATCCACTCTAACAAGGGGAAACACTTTGCATACAAACTTCTAATGTACAATTGGTTCTGTTATATAACTATAGACTTTGCTCCTGTAGTCTAAAAGTACAAAATCAATAGTTAAGTTTGTCCATTTCTAAATTGTGCTTGATGCTATCACTATTGCTAATTATATTACTGTAGCTAGGATGTCATATATGTTGTAATCAGTTCTTCTCCCTTGTGTAACAATATTGGGAATTTCTGGGGCAATAATCACACCACAACCCTACAACAGAAGGCTGGAGATGGAATCAAACAGAAACCAACATCCCACTCTCAATTAATTGAGAAGGTAAAATTGGGAATGACACAAACCAAGAATCTCCTACACACAGAAGACATCCCTGAAGAACATACTTTTGCTACAGAGGCCTTCGTACTAGGAATATAGCTACCCACTATAAAAACTCAGAAGAATGATCACAGAAAATGTCAAAACAAAGGATCAGAATGCAATCTCAGACCTCCAGCCCACACAGCATAAATCCAGGAGACAGTAACATAGAAGGAATAGAAACCACACACCTGAAATTTATGAAATTTGTGAAATGATAGCAATTTCATCCATGACCCATGATTATACCAGCACAATTTATAATAGCTAATTGGAAACAACTCAACTGTCCATTAACTGAGGAATGAATAAAAAATATGTGTGGTTTTTTTTATCTATTCAGCTATAAAGAAAGATAAACTTGAGGCTTTTATAGGTAAATGGATGCAACTAGAGACCATACTCATAAGTGAAATAAACCAGACTTACATGTGTAAACATATTATCTCTCTAGTGTAAAAAACTGAAAGAGTAAATAGGATCCAAAAGGTATAATAAATATTGTAAAAGGGAAAGAAACTGCTCAAATGAAAGAACTGGGATGGGGAAAAGAGAAAAGAAGGAAGGGATATATATATATATATATATATATATATATATACACACACACGATTGCTAAGATAATTGTACTACTAATTTTTATTATTCATTGATAGGTACCATTAGGGCTTATATTGTTTGATCAATTTTACATGCCTATATCTTGTACTCTGAGCAACTACTTTGAAGATAAGAATTGCAATATAATAACCATTGTTAATTTCCTATCATCTAGTTTTGAAGTTCTGTATTGTTTTTCTCTCTTTAAAATAAAAAAAAAAAAAAACAAAATAAATGTCATTGCACACCTGTTGGGATAGCTACAGAATAGTGAAAATACTGACAAGGATGTGGAAAACTGGATCTAACTGCTAGTGGGGATATGAAATTGTATAGCCAAGCTGAAAAAAATTCTTTGGCATTCTCCTATAAAAATAAACCTATGATTTAGTAATTACACTCTTGAACATTTATTATAAAGGAATGGAAATTTATGCTCACACAAAAGTGAATGTTCACAGTAGCTGTATTCATAACAGCTAGAGAACTTTATTGTATGGATGGTTAAATGAACCACACTACTTACATGGAACACTACTGATATCCAAAACAACTTGTATAACTCTTCATGGAATGAGGCAGAAAAAAAAATACTAAAAGGTTGTGTACCGTGTGATTCCACTTACATAACATTTTCAAATGAGTATGTTTCAGAAATGGAGAAAAGTTTAGTGGTTGCCAAGGCTTAGAGACATGGAGGAATGGGTGGGAGGTGGGTGAGGCAACAGTCCTTGGTCATGACAAAGTTTTCTCAGACCTAGGTCAGCCTCCAACCCAGAGAGTGTAGTTAGACTCTTGTACATCTCTAAGGTTCTGGTCGATGTCAAGAAGATAAATGGTGCCTGGGGATCAGTGCCTACAGAGCAGAAAAGAGTTCTCATATTTGTTGATCATTGCACCATAACTGATAAGTCCCTCGCACTCCCAAATACTCCAGAGAAGATGTGAATGAAAACTCATTGAACAGCTCCAGTAGGCAATTTGGATCTAATAATCATTAGCATCTGGGAGGCAAGAGCTACTAATAAAAAAAATTAAAAACCTCTGCCTGATTATACCATAAGTACCACAAGATTTCTCAACCCAAGCAAATTCTTCAGGCTGTGCTCAGAGCCAAGCCAAGGAAAAACAGCTTTCTGGCTGTTCGTGCTTTTATTTTACTGTTATTTATGAACTCCAGACATTTTCTGGATCATTATAGAGATTAGCAAATTTATTTTCTCTGTCAGTCCAAACTGTTTCATTATCCACAGTTGTCACTATTCAGATTCTGTTTGTAGAGTGCTGATAAGGATCCATTAAAAGGTTTCCAAAAAGCCACGAGCTACTTGACCACTCTTTCACTGTGTTTCCAGAATCCCAGTGCAATTATTTTTTGTGGGGATGGGGGGTACCAGAAATCAAACTCAGGACCGCATGCTTGCCAGGTAGGCTCTGCACCACTGAGCTAAATCCTTGACCCCCTCCAGTGCAATTCTTAAGGCAAATGCAGTTCATCTACATGCTGAGACTGGCTTATTTTTGTCAGCTTATGATCTTAACCTCTGTGCCTTTTTCTTAGACACAGGAAGAAATCATTGTTTTCTCTCATTCCTTTTCTTTGTTTGTAACTGCAGTCACTCCTGCAGAGAGACCCAAGACATTGTTGTCTAGGAAAACATAGAATTAGAAGGCAAAGCAACACCACCCAGCGCTTGCCTCTGCCTTGGGTGAGTGCATGCTGCTTATCGCAGGCCTCCAGGAGATGCTACTGGCTCAGACTTTCCCTGGTTAGATTCTTCTTTTCTTTCTTCTCCTCTTTTGGTTTGACTAAAAATGAAGACATATGTTGGTTAACCATAAAACAGACTCAAACCCATGAGAAAAATAACTTGAGACTATGCTAGATTCCTGAATTTTTTTTTCTCCTCTTTGTATCAAAGGTGCTCAGGTCTCAAAATTATACTTAAAAGGAAATCTAAAATTCCATACCAG